GAATATTGAGCTGCAATGTGACACATTTAATATATACACCCTCCTCACGAACGATGTACTTCGCTGCAATTCGAGCGGTTTTCCTTTTTGAAACTCTGTTCATTCTGCCGGTCTGCATCATAAAATCGAATAAAAGCTGATTGAAACAAATTAACTAAGCGTTTACCTCAAGGCAATATTGCCAAGCGCTATGTAAATAACCTTTTCAATGTTTAGTAAACTCCAGTAAACCATGAAACCCGCCAACCAGGGCACCAATGGATTGTCTGGATTGAATCCATGAGTTCATGAGCGATGTAAATTATTTTCAAGATCATAAGTGCTATCAAGTTTTGCAACGTTTAAGACTGGTTGGGAAATTTTTAGAAGATGCCAAAGTTGATATTTAGATGTAAACTTAACTGGGTAAATTTCATGTAACAATTTGTCTCGTAAACTGTACTCTATTTACTGAAAAAACGCGCAAGGAAGTCCCTCCAGCAAATCGTTAATTTGTGACTGATTGCAATAAACTTTTGCACACAGGACGAAAAAATGGATTTGCACAAATTTGCTCTCGGCAAATGTGTCGCAAAATTGTGAAAAATGAGTAAGCAAATCTGGGGCAAAGATAGAAAATGCCACATTTAAGGAGGCAAATGTGGTTTGTGCTTGTGGGAGAATAATTCTTAATTTGTAAACCATAAATATCTTCCCTGAACAACAGAAATGAACTTATCTCAGACTGCAGACACTCAAGGAAATTTCTGCTGCCCTAATTTGATTATTAGATTCTGATGCAAATTTGATATGACCTTGGTATTAAAGCATCACTTTGTTGGCGACATGTCACACCACGAGAAACGCCTAGTATGTATTGTTTAAGTTTTGTTTTCTCTATTGCTGGTTTTCAGTGTCACGCCATTCAAAATAGATCAAAATCAAAATCAAAACCGTTCAATAGATAAAGTCCAGAATCTGGGAAATGAAAGGAGGTACATATACAAAGACCCTCGCCAAGATTCAAGTCAGAGGATTATTTCGTATACGAGATATCCGAAGAAATGTTTTACCCAAACTTATAGAGATTTGTATGGAGACGCGATGCTGGTGCTCACCTGGATGAGCACCAACATGGCGGATGGAAACCAACAGAAACATCTGTTACCAAGTTTTGCCACAAAAGCGTGAATTTATTCTTCGAGAAACTCATAAACATTAAAGTAATATTTTTTCTAAAACATGAACTGTTTAGATAGCAAAATGTCCTGAAATAAGTTATTTGGCCGTCATGTTAATTCCGCGTCACGCAAAAGCTTAGAAATTCAAGCGTACTCTTTCACAAAAACAAGAGCCCTTTTGAAGCGAAAATTTGTATGAAAATTCGTTTTCAGCTTCTCTAATGCTTCGTGAAAGTAAAATGTCGGTAGGATCGATAGTTTTTAGTTTGAATTTTAGTGACGTCATGTGAAAACCAACAATGTCTTTGATTGTGACCGCCTTAGGGGCATAGTCTAAAATCTGAACTGGACTCTAGACTCTGGACGCTGTACAATACCCTTATCAAATCCAACACTGTTTTGAATGTATTCATGAACTATTTTTGAAAACTGTTTTAACCTGTTTTGTTAAAGAGGTTTTAAATTGGGTGAAAAGTGTACTTCAGTAATGTATTTTTCGACTGACTTTAAAGGTGCGTTTAAAATGCTATTGAAAAGTAATTTTTACTGAGTATTCTAAAATTCGCTTAAAATATTTAGAAAATTCTAGGGCTTTGGCAAAGCATAAAACAGTTTTTAAATACCTTATAAATAGGAATAAAAACAAGTATCATTTCATTATCAAACTTTACCGTAGGACCTGTTGAAAACTCTGCAGTAGTTAGCGAGCCACCCAAAACATGAAAGAAATGGGACTTGGGTGTTAACCTTTTAATATCATAGGTGACGAATTACTCCTTAATTTTGGCGCGAAATTTCAGCGCTAATTTGTAATTTCACATGTGAAATTACAAAATTGCCATGGCAACCCTTCCGTACGTCTCAGTGTAAAGATGGCGATGAAGTTTTAAAATGCCGTGAATGAAGATGTCAGGGCACAAAAAGACGCTTTAGAAAACCTGAACACACAAGAGAACATCAAGAAGGATTCTAACAGGTATTTTGCCGAAAAAGTCTGAAAAATTCTGAACTNCGTGAATGAAGATGTCAGGGCACAAAAAGACGCTTTAGAAAACCTGAACACACAAGAGAACATCAAGAAGGATTCTAACAGGTATTTTGCCGAAAAAGTCTGAAAAATTCTGAACTTTATAAGCCAAATTTAAGGTCTAAACATTTGAGAGAAAGGAGTTCTCGATCGATACGATCCAGGATAAACATGTCAAAAATCCAAGATTGCTAAGGTAATTCGTCACCCATGACATCTATAGGTAATCAACAAATGGTATACTCGTGAAATTAGGGAATAATTTCACTTGCGTTTTGTCCAAATCCTAATAATTGCCCTCGCCTTAATTATAAGGATTTGGACAAAACGCGCATGAAATTATTCCCTAATTTCACTCCTCACCATACATACAAATACAGCAGAATTTCTTGTCTTTGATTAACATTTTTCAAATTACATTGAATTTTCCTTTTTATTGTCTTTTTTCATTTCAGGGAGTCTATTTAAAGGTGCTATACCGAGAAAAGGAAGGCAACTCAAATATCCTTAATAACAGTAGTCGAGTGGACGTCGTACACATAATTTAAAAAGAACGAAGAATGTGCACACCATTCTGTGACGACAACTCATGTCCTTACCGCGATCAGCATAATAATTTTATTATCTCTCTAGTTAAGCTGCAAGAGTCTGGCAAAGAAGCTGACGTAGATGAATGGAAAAAGCTGATAATAACCACCAAAGAGATGTGCGATCTGAATCAGCCGCTGGAAGATCGGGATCCAGATTTAAGGTATCCCTTGTTACATTGGGCGGCAACGCTGGGAAAAATAAAGGCCGTCCAATGGCTTTTAAAGCAAGACTTCATTTATTTAAGAAAACCTCCACAGGGAAAAACCAATTCAAAAGTAGTTTTTTCTATGGTGCGATTTTTGCACGTAGGATTACCGACGACAGACCCGCGAAAAATATTAAAAATCTTTTTGAAAATTCTTGATTTGTTATTGACAAGTGATCCAGACCTACTCTTAGTTGAAGAAGGCCCTTACGACGACACGGTTTTACACCTATGTGCGCGGGGGGAAGAAGGATCAAACGCTCCTTTCCTAAAATACCTTAAAGGAATTTTGGTAAAACTACACGAAATGTCCAGGAAGAATAAAACACAGCAACTGGAAAACGTTTTAGTAAAAAAGAATAAGGAAGGAGACACGTTTATGCGTACAGTTGCCAAATTTAGAAATGCAGAAGAGGTGAAGGTCCTTATGGACTTGGTAAACGAAAGATTTGAAAGAAACATTTCCTCGCCAGTTACAACCGTCGAATCATCGTCATCATCTTCATCTTCCGTTTTGTCAACCGATGACCACGAAGAGAACTATGGCGACAACGATGAAAATGACGATGATGATCATGATGAAGTATTTGACGACGATGACAAACGTAAAGCGAGCGAAGACGATGCTCCTTTGAGCACACTTTTCAAAGCCAAGGAAAGCGTACAAAGGCTGGCTCTAGAAAAGAAAAGGAAGTGGTCTCAGGAAACACTGAAACTAAAGAAAGCCAAGTTGTCCCTTCAAGAATGCGAAAATAAAATCAGGAGTCTTCTAAGGGAAAAGGAAAGGAAAAAGGCTGACGTTAAAAAACTGGAGGAGACAGTGGAGGATGCGGAAAGAAAATTTACTCTATGTCAACAATTTTTAGAGAATGTGGATTAGACTTGATGCAATTCCACGACTGAATATTTTTTTTCAATAGTCATTTTCGTTCCATTACTTCACGGTTAAAATTAAGAGATTTCAGGCGCTATTGCCAGAAACTTTCCAATCCTTCATTGAAGGGTCGTGACTGTCTTTGAGGTCAGCTGAGTACTTTGATTAAAATTCGTCAGTTACTTTTTAAACATGAGGGGAAACGGCCTAAATTTCAAAGTAACAAATTGTGCCGAATCATATAAATATAACATAGGGGGTTGTAGGGGGGAAGAAAGTACAAAGTAGACAGTCGATGGACCTATCTTTACTCTTCATGAGCTCCCTAGTTTTATGTGAAATGCTTCACGACAGTGCAAAATTCACGATGTTGGCAGTTTCAGTTTTTAAAGCACTTAGAACATTTTTAGCACTAAATGTTCAGAAATTTAAGTTAAATTATACATTGATAATGTACTTAATCTGACAGGGAGAATAGCGAGCTTTTTCTAAAACGGGCACCTTTGTGCTCGTCTGTAAGAAAGAACTTTAGTTAACTATAATATGAGGTTCGTGTCCCAGCAGAGTCAAAATTATCATCGTTGGCTCATTCATCATAACTTCCACTTTTACATTACTGTGACGTCATCGGACACTGAACCATTCTGCTTCTAGACTTTTTCATTTTATCAGAGAAAAATGAAAATTAAGCGGTTGGTTAGTAGATTTTACATTCGCCTTCTGAATTCAATTTTGTCTTTCTTTGTTTGCTTTTAATGGTGATTACCAGGGGAATTAGTTTTATCTAGAAAATGGAGCCTATATAGCACTAGTATATAAAAAACACTAATAAAAAATTGAATTTCGTTATAGAGACATTGCCACCTGCTTTAGTAATCATTATTTATCTTTTACTTTCACAGTTCGTCTCAGCATTTATCAAATTAGCCCCTTTATACGTGGAAACAAAAGCTGAGTTAACTTCATCTAAACATATAAGATGCGCTTTCCTGTTGTGAAAAGATGCACTTTCTCCTTGATTAATAAATTAGTAAAAAAAATATTCATTCTAAAGCTGGTTTGATGTTAATTTTGCTGGATAATTTTTGAAGCCTTTCAATTAAATGCAATGCCAAGGTCTAAAACTACATGGTTATGATATATTTAATTATTTGAGACAAAACATGTCAACCTCTTGATTTTGCAGTTGATTTCGCTCACCATATTTTTGAATTCTGCTCGAAAATTTTGACTTTGAAACCAGAGAATAATCGGATTCGTGGCTGAGTTGGAATGTATCAGAAAGAAAGAAATTTGATTAAAAGGGCCTCTGTTGGAATAAAAGAAAAGAAAATAGACGGCGCGAGGTGTAAAACAGATTATGAAAGCCAAAGTTATCAGAAGCAGTAACTTTACGACCCTCCTTTTCTGCTGTAATTCTTCATTAACGCATAGTCGCTGGCTCCCAAAGTAGAATCCCCGGATAATTCGCCAGTAGCAAAAGCAAATCACAAAAAGAGCCAAAGCCACTCCGCAACCAAGCAATGAGTAGTATATGCGTCTTTCCGTCTTAAGTTCTCTCAAATCAGAGCATGTTCTTTCTTTTTCATCGAACTCCATAAATGAGAAAAGAGGGATGACAAGAATAACGGAGTAAAGTGAAATTCCAAAGATCCAGTAGAAAACGCTGTCCTTTGTTAAACGCAGCCGGCTGTTCCAGGGTTTCAAGAGNCAGAAAGAAAGAAATTTGATTAAAAGGGCCTCTGTTGGAATAAAAGAAAAGAAAATAGACGGCGCGAGGTGTAAAACAGATTATGAAAGCCAAAGTTATCAGAAGCAGTAACTTTACGACCCTCCTTTTCTGCTGTAATTCTTCATTAACGCATAGTCGCTGGCTCCCAAAGTAGAATCCCCGGATAATTCGCCAGTAGCAAAAGCAAATCACAAAAAGAGCCAAAGCCACTCCGCAACCAAGCAATGAGTAGTATATGCGTCTTTCCGTCTTAAGTTCTCTCAAATCAGAGCATGTTCTTTCTTTTTCATCGAACTCCATAAATGAGAAAAGAGGGATGACAAGAATAACGGAGTAAAGTGAAATTCCAAAGATCCAGTAGAAAACGCTGTCCTTTGTTAAACGCAGCCGGCTGTTCCAGGGTTTCAAGAGCGCGCGAAATCGCTCGACAGCCAACAGTGTCAGAGTGGTGATAGATACCACGATTGTCGCGCTGGATGTGTTAGCTGTCGCAAACGTTTGGCACAACACGGCGCCCAGTGTTCCTCCTGGAAGTTTAAAAGTCAGAAGAATGGCAAACGGAAGGAAGCAAATTAGCGAGATTAAATCTGCAGCCGACACAAACGCCAGTAGAATATTCGTTGTCGATCGCATGTTTCGATTTTTTAATACGGCTGAAACTACAAGTGAATTTCCAGTGATGCCGATAAACACCAGCACAAAATAGCTGATCGTCAACGGGACATTTTCCATGGCAGACATTACTTCCTTCCCTTGCTTAAATGAAACATTCGCTCTGTATTCGACAGTGTCTGAGTCGTTTGGAATCATCTTTACTCAGTGATTGCTGGATGCTAACACGCCAGCTTTTTCACTTACTCAGTTTTAATTACTTACTCATTTTTAATTTGCACTGCAAACAATTATAATGAAATTTTGCTTTTTGCGCGGTTGACACCCATTTTTTACCGCTTAACCAAAGCCTTCTCGTACTAGTATCGTTTAATTAATAAAGGCGTTTTTTATTTATCTCTTAAAGAGACCGAAATGATAGGTCGTTGGTAAACAAGTCATTCAATGTTTGCAGTATGCTGGTAAAATGAGCTTTTGGATTCTATCTCTGACTCTAAAACTTAAAAGTTGTCTTACTATGGCATGAGCATATAACATGAACAGGTGAAAATGGAAATTGGGATCAAATTTCACTTAACTGATTATTTCGCCAATTCGCGGGTTCGCTGATATTTATATTAGCAAAAACTTTGTTCGGCAAAGTATCCTTCCGATACCCAAGGTGTTTTATGTAGTTAGTCGTCCGTCGGTGAAAAATAAAATGATGTTAAATTTTCATTTCGAGACACAGTTTACGGACCCTTTACGATAACTGAGTTGTTGTGGATATTCGCAAGAGCCAGAGCCTAGCTGTCGCTTTTTTTGGTCAAGTGATCATCCAAACGTTAGTTGCAAATAAATCTGAGTGGATCTGATGACGAAAATGTTCACGTATGCAAAACTCTGGACCCCAGAACTCCATTTTTCCCTTTGTTTGGCGCAGAGCCGAATACATAAACTAAGCAATCTTGTTTCCAGATGCCGCGTTACCCTCCCAGGGGCCCCACTCACATATTTTAATGACGGGGGGGGTCCGACAGAGGTTCATATTTTATACCCCAAAAAATCCCAACTTCAGAATTTGTCTACCCAAAAAATCC